CTGCTGCTATTACTGTTTCTGCTGCTAATACTACTGCTGCTGCTATTACTACTGTTGCTGCTGCTACTGTTGCTGCTGCAACTACTACTGTTGTTGCTGCTACTGTTGCTGCTGCTACTACTGTTGCTGCTACTACTGTTGCTGCTACTACTGTTGCTGCTGCTACTGTTGCTGCTGCTACTACTACTGTTGCTGCTACTACTACTGTTGCTGCTGCAACTACTGTTGCTGCTACTGTTGCTGCTACTACTGTTGCTGCTGCTACTACTACTGTTGCTGCTGCTGCTACTACTGTTGCTGCTGCTACTACTACTGTTGCTGCTATTACTATTGTTACTGCTGCTACTACTACTACTACTGTTGCTGCTATTACTAATGTTGCTGCTGCTACTACTACTGTTGCTGCTATTACTACTGTTGCTGTTGCTGCTACTACTGTTGCTGCTACTACTGTTGCTGCTAATACTACTGTTGCTGCTATTACTACTATTGCTGCTGCTGCTACTACTTTTGCTGCTGCTGCTTCTACTGTTGCTGCTATTACTACTGTTGCTGCTCCTACTCTTGTTGCTGCTACTACTACTGTTGCTGCTGCTACTCCTGTTGCTGCTGCTACTAGTGATGCTGCTGCTACTACTACTGTTGCTGCTACTACTGTTGCTGCTGCTGCTGCTACTACTACTGTTGCTGCTACTATTACTACTGTTGCTGCTGCTATTACTACTGTTGCTGCTATTACTACTGTTGCTGCTGCTACTACTACTGTTGCTGCTACTACTGTTGCTGCTATTACTACTGTTGCTGCTGCTGCTACTACTGTTGCTATTGCTGATGCTACTACTACTGTTACTGCTGCTACTACTGCTGTAGCTGCTATTACTACTGTTGCTGCTGCTCTTACTAATGTTGCTGCTGCTACTACTACTGTTGCTGCTGCTATTACTAATGTTGCTGCTGCTGCTACTACTATTGTTGCTGCTACTACTGTTGCTGCTGCAGTTACTACTGTTGCTGCTGCTACTACTGTTGCTGCTGCTGCTACTACTGTTGCTATTGCTGATGCTACTACTACTGTTACTGCTGCTACTACTGCTGTTGCTGCTATTACTACTGTTGCTGCTGCTCTTACTAATGTTGCTGCTGCTACTACTACTGTTGCTGCTGCTATTACTAATGTTGCTGCTGCTGCTACTACTACTGTTGCTGCTACTACTGTTGCTGCTGCTGCTACTACTGTTGCTGCTGCTACTACTGTTGCTGCTGCTGTTACTACTGTTACTGCTACTACTACTGTTGCTGCTGCTGCTTCTACTACTGTTGCTGCTACTACTACTGTTGCTGCTCCTACTACTACTGTCGCTGCTACTACTATTGTTGCTGCTGCTGCTACTACTAAAGTTGTTGCTGCTACTACTACTGTTGCTGCTGCTGCTACTACTGTTGCTGCTATTACTACTGTTGCTGCTGCTACTACTGTTGCTGCTATTACTACTGTTGTTGCTACTACTACTGTTGCTACTGCTACTACTGCTGCTGCTACTACTGTTGCTGCTGCTACTACTACTACTGTTGCTGCTGCTGCTTCAGGATTCGAGGTTAGGGTGGGGTTTAGGTATTGGACTTTAGGGGTTGGTGGTGCCTAGCCATTGACCGTCGTACACGCGACCACTCTGCGTTGCCACGTCGTGCGGTGAGCTTTATTCGTGTCCCTTCGTTTCGGTTGAACACAAAACGCTGCACGCGGGTCGGCAGGGGGTTGGGGGAGTGACATTTCTGCCGGAAGACGCAAACTCAGCACGCAAAATAGATTCACAATAGCGCTTGCGACAGTAACAACAACAATACTAATCATTCGAACTTGCATATGTAATATTACTAATTTCCTTTAAGTGAATTTGTTGCATAAGACAAGTATAGAGAGACAGGGGGAGGCTCTTTAAAAATTGATTAATCGTCGCTTCCCCCCACCCCACCCCAGCGTCATCCCGATTCTGCCATCAGCGCCGTCGCCACGAGGCAGAGAATCCGTCTGGAAAGCTCTGGCGCAGCAGTGCTGCACTTCGTGTTGAAGGAGGGCCAGCGGAAGTGGATATCATAGAGCTACCTCTGAGAACCCTTCTTATTCAAGTGACACTCTGGTCCACACACAGAAAAGGATAGCACTCTCCCACCCAAATGCTTTGACATATGAGATTTACCTTCATCGCATGAAAGTCAAACCAAAATATTTAATTCTCAAGAGCTGGATCTCAGCCAAACTAAGTACAGAGACACATTTAATGTGGTGGGTTTTGTGCGTGTGTTAATCAAAGCTTAGTCTATGGGTCTCTATGTGAGCCAACGGGTCTCTATGAGAGTCTATGGGTCTCCATGTGAGTCTATGCGTCTCTGTGTGAGTCATCGGGTCTCTATGTGAGTCTATGGGTCTTATGTGAGTCTGGGTCTCTGTGAGTTTGTGAGTCTACTTGAGTCAGCGGGTCTCTATGTGAGTCTATGGGTCTCTGTGTGAGTCCATGAGTCTCTGTGTGAGTCTATGGCACTCTATGTGAGCCTATGGGTCTTTATGTGAGTCTGGGTCTCTGTGAGTTTGTGAGTCTACTTGAGTCAGCGGGTCTCTATGTGAGTCTATGGGTCTCTGTGTGAGTCCATGAGTCTCTGTGTGAGTCTATGGCACTCTATGTGAGCCTATGGGTTTTATGTGAGTCTGGGTCTCTGTGAGTTTGTGAGTCTACTTGAGTCAGCGGGTCTCTATGTGAGTCTATGGGTCTCTGTGTGAGTCTATGAGTCTCTGTGTGAGTCTATGGCACTCTATGTGAGTCTATGGGTCTTTATGTGAGTCTGGGTCTCTGTGAGTGTGTGAGTCTACTTGAGTCAGCGGGTCTCTATGTGAGTCTATAGGTCCCTATGTTATTCATTGATGACCAGGCTGAGACCATGAACTCACTGCACTTGAGAACCTGGTATAATCACAACTCAGTCGATGCGAGTCTTTGTGTCTTTGTGGGAGTCAGTGGGTATCTATATGAGACTAGGTATCTATGTGAGTCTATAGGCATATATGTGAGTCTGGGTCTCTATTTGAGTCAGTGGGTATCTATATGAGTCTATGGGTTTCTACGTGAGTCTATAGGCATCTATGTGAGTCTGGGTCTCTATGTGAGTCAGTGGGTCTCTGCGGGAGTACACGGGTCTCTATGTGAGTCTGGGTCTCTATATGAGTCAGTGGATCTCTTTGGGAGTCAATGGGTCTCTATGCGAGTCTGGGTCTCTATACGAGTCACTGGGTCTCTTTGGGAGTCAATGGGTCTCTATGCGAGTCTGGGTCTCTATATGAGTCAGTGGATCTCTTTGGGAGTCAATGGGTCTCTATGCGAGTCTGGGTCTCTATATGAGTCAGTGGGTATCTTCGGGAGTCAATGGGTCTCTGTGTCAGTGGGTCTCGTTGCTAGTCAATGGGTCTCTGTGCCAATCTATAGGCGACTGGCCTGAGACCATGATCTCGCTGAGACAGCGGCTGCAACCTGCAGTTGAACCCAGGGTCTCAGTATTACCGGCTCAGCACCTCTGACCTTCTGGGCTACCCGGCCTCCTGTTGTAACGGGGACAGTTTGCTGATCCGTGTGTACACACGCGTATGGGGAGCGGTGGCGCAGCTGTTAGCGCTCTTCACTTCAAACCCGGTGACCCGAGTTCGATTTCCCAACGGCCTTCATAGGTGCCCGCTGACAGCACTTGCCCCCAACGGTCTGTTTAAGGCTACCCGGGGGATCTTTGTCTTTTGTTGTGACGCCAAGATCCCGATTTAAAATCACCGCTGACGCGCCCCTCCAAGGTGTCTCCGCATCGTGCCGCGCATGCTTGTTCGGCACGATGTCCGACGTTTCGTGCTGGGGACATTCTTCTCTTTCGGTTCCTGCGGAAGCCTCCGACAACGCTACGCCAACCCACAGCGGTGAGAATCTGCAGCATCTGCGGCAGTGGGAAAGAATCTTTGGAATTTAGCAACCGATTTCGAGTGAATTCGACTGAAATTAATTCCTGAAGAAGCTCCCCCGCCTGCTGAGAGAAACGTTGGACGTCGTTTAGGGTTAGAACCGACGCGGGTGGTACAACAGCTAAAGTGTATCCCGGCAAATCGCTCTTTACAATTTACCCCCCCCCCCCTTGCCCTGCATAACATGGTATGCTCCACTGTGTAACGTACACTCGGGTTGTGCCACTACTGGATAACGAGTTTGAGGTGGGGGGGAGGGGCGTGCACTTACGAATGTGAATCACTTTAAAGTTTCCAAAAACTGCTATACAATATGTGTGTGTGTATGTTTATTGGTGATTTGATTTACGAGCTCAAAGCAGGCCTACGAGATATGGTGAACACGGGATGCCTTCTGCTCTGCAGCACGGCTTCATCGTCGCCATCTTCATCAGCAGCAGCAGCAGCAGCCATGATCAATCCACTGCTAATCAAGACCTCATTCGACACCCAGACATCACACACTTCTGTCTTGGGCATTCCTCCTCCTCCTCCCCCTCGAAGCCACTGGGGTAACCATCAGCCGCGTCGTCAGAACATCACCAGCACCAATCTCCTTCGTGAATGTAGCTGTGCAGGCGCGAGCCCCAGCAAGTTCGAGTCGTGGCCATGCAACCCAATGCTACGGACCGCACCGGTGAACCAACCGTGGCAGTCTGCGCTCCTTCAACGGCGGAGGAGGAGGGAACGGCGACACGACACGAATCCTTCTCTCTCTCTCTCTGTCTGTCTGCTGAAGCCATCTCGTTGTGGCCAGCGGCAGCGGCAGCAGTAAGCAGCAGGGCCTCCACGTTGCCATCGAGCTCGTGAGGATTGCTGCTGCTGCTGCTGCTGCCGCCGCCATCCTACACGCACACACATAGTGCCGGATCACTGCAGGCCGCAGCCACGTGCAGCAGCAGCAGCAGCAGAGCCACCACCAGCTGGTCGTGTTGGCAATGCACGCGGTCAAAAAGAAAAGCAGTGGTAGTCGAAGCGATGTTTTATCATTGCACAGAGCCGGGATGAGTTTGGGATTGCATTCATATGTTTAAGGAGGATTGTGGTGTAGTTTTTTTTTCTTTTTCCGGGGCATTAGCGTGCTCGTTTCCGATTCAACCGCGCCTTCGCGCTCACAAAAAGCGACGGAAAATGGCAGCGGGCACGGCAACGTACCTTCTGTGACGTCACTTCCGGTGACGCGCGTCTCATTTCTCTCAAGATCAATCAGAAGCGGTCGTTTGTCGGACCAAATCAGACTTGATACGTCGACTCGATGTTGTCAGGCGTGCCGAAATAACTCCCAAAGAAATGAAATGAACGGCAACGCATCCCGAGATTGCAGTAACGATTGCCCGGGCATATTAAGAAAGAAAAAAAAACAAAAAACGAATCGTCGGATAACATCTTAATGTATAGAGGACTGCAGAGGTTGGACAATTGATTGGTAGCGCTGGCTCATCACCACCTCGTGGCTGCTGCTGCTGCCCTTCCGCTCCTCGTCTGCGGCTCCTCGGCCATTGTGAGGGAGGCAATTTGCAAGAACAACGACCCTGCTATGCTGTGCTGCATCTAAAACTACACAGTGATTATTAATTATTGTGATTATACAGTGTCTGACGAGGACATCCATAGTCAGGGAACAGGCCGTTTGTGGAACACCAAGACACGTGGTGGTTCTTAAACCGAGTGGAACACCAAGACACGTGATGGTTCTTAAACCGAGTGGAACACCAAGACACGTGATGGTTCTTACACCGTGTAGAACACCAAGACACGTGATGGTTCTTACACCGAGTGGAACACCAAGACACGTGATGGTTCTTACACCGAGTGGAACACCAAGACACGTGATGGTTCTTACACCGTGTGGAACACCAAGACACGTGATGGTTCTTACACTGAGTGGAACACCAAGACACGTGATGGTTCTTACACCGTGTGGAACATCAAGACACGTGATGGTTCTTACACCGAGTGTAACACCAAGACACGTGATGGTTCTAACACCGAGTGAAACACCAAGACACGTGGTGGTTCTTACACCGTGTGGAACGCCAAGACACGTGATGGTTCTAACACCGAGTGGAACACCAAGACACGTGATGGTTCTTACACCGAGTGGAACACCAAGACACGTGATGGTTCTTACACCGAGTGGAACACCAAGACAGGTGATGGTTCTTACACCGTGTGGAACACCAAGACACGTGATGGTTCTTACACCGTGTGGAACACCAAGACACGTGATGGTTCTTACACAGAGTGGAACACCAAGACACGTGATGGTTCTTACACCGAGTGAAACACCAAGACACGTGATGGTTCTAACACCGAGTGGAACACCAAGACACGTGATGGTTCTTACACCGTGTAGAACACCAAGACACGTGATGGTTCTTACACCGAGTGGAACACCAAGACACGTGATGGTTCTTACACTGTGTGGAACACCAAGACACGTGGTGGTTCTTACACCGTGTGGAACACCAAGACACGTGATGGTTCTTAAACCGAGTGGAACACCAAGACACGTGATGGTTCTTACACCGTGTGGAACACCAAGACACGTGATGGTTCTTACACCGAGTGGAACATCAAGACACGTGATGGTTCTTACACCGAGTGGAACACCAAGACACGTGATGGTTCTTACACCGTGTGGAACACCAAGACACGCGATGGTTCTTACACCGAGTGGAACACCAAGACACGTGATGGTTCTTACACCGTGTGGAACACCAAGACACGTGATGGTTCTTACACCAAGTGGAACACAAAGACACGTGATGGTTCTTACACAGAGTGGAAGTCCAAGACACGTGATGGTTCTTACACCGTGTGGAACACCAAGACACGTGATGGTTCTTACACCGAGTGGAACACCAAGACATGTGGTGGTTCTTACACAGAGTGGAACACCAAGACACGTGATGGTTCTTACACCGAGTGGAACACCAAGACACGTGATGGTTCTTACACTGGCAGCCGGTGTGGCAAAACATTGTACGTTTGGAAATAGTTCGCGACAAAAATCAGTTAAACACCGTAACTGTGAAAAAAATCATTCACAAACGGCGGTCTTCACGTGAGCGTTGCTATCGCCTTTTGATTCGCCCTCAAGCAAGGGATTGATCTGCAGGGTGGCCCGAACGTCAGGACACACACGCTGGGTCATGATATTCATTTGAACAAATGCACAAACGGGTTATTTAATTAAGTTGAACAAACGTCCAAATGGACTCCCATGGAAAGTTGACGAACGCGGGGAATTCACCTTTGAAAATTAAATTAGGACGTTTGCTTTTTTTTTTTGTTAAACGATAGCAGGCAATGAACATTCGTCCAATGTTACCTTGGCCATTGTTGTTTAGTCTCGATCCATTCTGGGTTCTTGGCCGAGTTTTGTAAACGACGGATTTGAGGTGTCCCCCGCAGGGAGAATAGAAACAGATATTAATAATCATAATAGATAATACATTAACTTAACGAATAAATACAAATTATAATAACATATATGACATTAACCCTACGTGGTCTGACTTTAGCGCCACCCTGTGTATAGTCTCGGTGTGGTTAGGCCTCGTTACATTAAGGACATCATCGCTCAAAGCAAATTTTGTTGCGAGTTTCACGGGCAATTAGGTACGTATACTCTTTGGTTCTTTCGGTAAAGTCACGTAGGTAGAAAAAAATAATAATAATAGGAGCGAGCAGGCGAGTACGGGTAGGAGAGATAAATACATGTAAGCTCGGTGAGGGCCGAACTCGGCTAGGGCCTGGAAATCTGCTCGTAAGTGTAAATGTAAGCTCGCTCCTACATTAACATTAGCTGTCCCGCCCATCTCTAAACCTTTATCAACAACCTGCCTCAGCAGGTTCCCCCCTCTTTTTCACCTGAAGGCGGTTGCTTGTGTTGCGATCGAAATGCCGTTACCTATTATTTTTTTCTACCTACGTGACTTTACCGAAAGAGACAACGAGTATGGATTCCTGCAGTCACGAAAGCTTCAAATAAAAAAAAAATAGGTAGGTTTAAATGTCATCACGACTTCCGTCTCACGTACCATCCCATTACTCTCATCGTGTTCAGGGATGTGAAAGTGTTTATGCGTCAGCTCTGTCCCGTCCGTGTGTCCGCGTGTCCGTCTATAACGGTGTGGGGATGGGGGGGGGGGAGGGTGGGGGGTGGGAGGTGGGGGCCACAATTACTCCTGTCGAGATGATCTGATCCGAACTAATCTTTAATGTGAAGTTGCATTGCTACTCGGGACTCGACACCCCCCTCCCCCCCCCCGGCCCCCCTCCCGGAGAAAACCGGATACATTGATCCGAGGGGGTTATTGCTCGAGGACTTGGAGACGGAGAGCAAAGCACGACTCTCAACATGCCTCGACCGCTGCTTTCCCCACCCCTTCGCCGTTCCTTACGCCAATTCAACGCCTCACAGGACGACTGGACGCGTGCTGCGGCGGTGTCACAGAATCCACGCGTCCGTGTGATTTTTCCCTTTCCTAACTTGTCTAAGCTTCTGTTCCCCACTCCGCGCTGGGTTTAGAATAACCGGTGCCGGCTGACGCCAGCGGCAGTGAAGCCACCGTCGTGACCGGGGCGGGCTCCGCGTTGCCAGCGCGGTGCTTTTTTTAGGCGGTTGCGGTTCCGATGGTTGCGGCGGCGGCGGCGCCGGCGGTGCCGGCGGTGCCGGCGGTGACGGTGACGGCAGTCCCGGCGGCGGCCTCCGCGGTGTAGAGGCGATTCTGGAGGATGTAGTCGATGACCGCTTGGCTCAGGAGCTGAGAGACGCCGGCGTCGCCCCTCTCCAGCGCCAGCCTTGGGGCAACGGCACAGAGTAGAAGGGGGCTCATGGGAAGCGGGCGTCGCCTCGGCGGTAGCCCTGCGGCATCTGCTTCCCCCCCCCCCCGGGGGCCGCTCTCAAAGCCCTTTGCCTCGTGGCGACGGGGAGCGACGTTGCGCCGGACGCTGTCAAACGCCGCTGTCGGCGTTTGACTGCGTCCCACGCAACCGCCGAGAATCCATGGACGAGGAGCGAGGCAGTGAGGAGCCGGCGCTGTCGACGGCTGCCCAAGCTCTGCTATCCTCTACATTTTAAGGTATTTTCAGGCAACTAATGAGCGTTCCCCCCCCCCCCCCCCCCCAATTGACAGCGTAGTCGGGAAACGATTTGGAACAAGATTTACGTAAGATGACGGTCAGAGGTCGAAGGGATGGAAGTCTTCCTGCCATGGGGGTGGCTGTGGTGGTTCATAATGGCCGTGACGGAGACACTGGCAGAAAGCCAGAGCATCGGCCCCATGTTAGAGAATGGCCTGTGGAAGTTGATATCACAGAACTACTTCTGAGATCACTTTCCTCGCCTTTTATCCCTACACCAGGGGCGCTGCATATATCGTTGCACTGCAGTCAAACCGATATTATATTTAACTCTCAGAGGTGGTCATTAGCTAAATTAAGCGCAGAGCCACGTTTTAATGTGACGCGCTTTTTGTTGCTGTTGTTGGTGTGCAGCTATCGGTGACCGGGTTGAGGCCACCACCTTACTGCACTTGAGAACCCGGTCCAATCACAACTCAGTCTGCCCCAGTCTACGTGTACGTTTATGGGTCTCCACGTGATCCTTTGGGTTTCTATGTGAGTCTGTGGCGTTTCTACGTGAGTCTACGGGTCTCTACGCGAGCCCTTAGTGACGAGGCTGAGAACATCAACTCACTGCGCTTGAGAATCCGGTTTAATCACAGTTAGTGACTGGAACCCGGATTCGAACCCAGGGTGTTTAACGATGCCGGCTCATTGCCACCCGGTCGCCTGTACAGTTGAACGTCAAGTCAGGCAAATCTGCAGTAAGTCAGACAGACGTCGAGGTCCACTGCCACTTGCCTGCTCTCTGTGGAGCTGATGGAAGAGGTTGCTGTGCTCTTGCCTGTCGTGACAGTGATGATATTGTGCTGTGGAAGAAAGACAAAGGCAAAGATATCCCGTATAGCCTTTAAATGGACTGTTGGGGCAAGTGCTGTTGGCGAGCACCTATGAAGGCCGGCACGGCACATGAGGGGGTGGGTGGCCAGCACCACGCCAGGCCGCCTTTGTCTCCCCAGTGGCGATGTTTACTACACACCGCACCAGGTACTCATTTGAGGCTGAGTCGACCTAGGGGAGGCCCAGGACCGGTTCAGATAATTGTCACTGATGTTGGCCGTGAGCGGGAATCGAACTTGGGACGCCGGGTTCGTAGCGCTAACCGCTACACCACTGTGCTGTGGAACACGCACAGACACATACACAGACACATACACACGCATACACACACACAGACACATACACACAGATACACACACAGACACGTACACACAGACACACACACAGACACACACAGACACATACACACAGATACACACACGGACACGTACACACAGACACACACACAGACACACACACACAGACACATTCACACAGACACATACACACAGACACATACACACGCACACACACACACAGACACATACACACAGACACACACACACACAGACACACACACACACAGACACATACACACAGACACATTCACACAGATACATACACACAGACACACACACACAGACACATACACACAGACACATACACACAGACACACACACAGACACACACACACAGACACATACACACAGACACACACACAGACACACACACACAGACACATACACACACACACAGACACATTCACACAGATACATACACACAGACACAACAACAACCGCCATTCGCCACTAAGTGGCGGTGACGTCACCACGGCGCTTGTGCCAGGCCATGTGCACCCTGAGGCCACGTGAAGTGTCGAACTCCCGCTGGCTGGAGGTCACGGGGCAGACCCAGCAGAGGAGGCCAAACACCACTCTCGAGGGGCTCTCTCTCGAGCTCCATTCAGTGGAGGCCCTGACGCCAGCAGTGGCGTGCGCTCGTGCGTGTGTGCGAGTGTGTGCGTGTGCGTGTGTGTGTGTGCGAGTGTGTGTGCGTGCGTGTGTGCGCGTGAGTACGTGCGTGTGCGCGAGTGTGTGTGCGTGTGTGTGTACGTGTGTCTGTGTGCGAGTGTGTGTGCGTGCGTGAGTACGTGCGTGTGCGCGAGTGTGCGTGATTGCGTGCGAGTGCGTGCGTGTGCGCGAGTGTGTGTGCGGGTGTGTGCGTGTAAAAGCGTGTGTGCGCATAAGTGCGTGCATGTGTGTGTGAGTGCGCGTGTGTGTGCGCGCGTGAGTGCGTGTGCGTGTGTCAGTACACGTGTGTGTGTGAGTACACGTGTGTGTGTGCATGTGAATACACGCGTGCGTGTGCATGTGTGCGTATGTGTGCGTGTGTGCACGCGAGAATGCGTGTGTGAACGTGTGTGCGTGTGCGTGAGTTGGATTCCCTCTCGCAGCCAACTGGGGCGACGAATATCTGAACAGTTTATTAAGGGCCGCACCTTAGGTCGACTCAACCTTAAATGAGTACCCAAGGCACGGGGGTGGTCCCGGCCACACCACGTGCCGTGCCGGACTTCGGGGGTGCCGCTCGCGAACGGCATTTTCCCCGCGAGCCCTGCGTGGCTAACCGGGGGTGCGTGTGGCTGTCCTGGCGATCGTGGGGGGGGTCCCTGTGTGTGTGTGTGTGTGGGGTGGGGTGGGAGTGTGGGGGTGCCGTTGCCGGGTCGGCGGGGGTTCTCCACGCACCCTGTACTTGCTGAGCAGCGGAGACTGCGCGATGATGCGCGAGGGGTCGTGACCTTCACGCGGCACGCACACCAACCCAAAGTCTCCCAGGATGCTCTTCAGCTGTGCTCACGGTGGTGGTTGGGGTGGGGTGGGCGACACACACAGCAAAGATAAAGATCCCCCGTGTAGCTATTAGCAGACTGTTAGGTGCACGTGCTGTGAGCGAGCTCCTGTGATGAAGGCTGCCAGGGCACACTGAGGTGGATGGCCAGCCAGCACCGCACCCGAACAGCACCATGCACGGTCATGGTGATGAGAGGCGACCGCGACGACGGTGATGATGATGATGAGAGGAGGGAATTCCAGAGTGGAGCGGTGCGAGGGATGGAGCAGAGAGAGAAGTGAGGCGACCTGCGGTGTGTGGTGAGCGGGTGGGTTGGTGAGCGATTGGGCGATTGAATGCATGAGTCGGTGAGCGAGTGAGCTGTGACCTGCGGTGTGTTGAGTGGGTGGGCGAATGGATGAGCGACTGAGCGAGTCGGTGAGCGATCGGGCGAGTGGAATGTGCGAGCCAATGAGTGACGTTCACGGGAAAAGCGCGCCATGCGATGCGGGCGACAAACATAGCAGATCCCATCATGTGCAGGTTTACTCGTCAGTTCATTCATGTGTGCTTTCATTCAATTGTCCATTCAACGCTTGTTCACTTAACTAATCATCCGTTCAATTTGTGCATTCACTAATTGCTCATGCCATCGCAAATCCATCCATTCATTTGTTCGTCAATTCACTTGTCCATTCATTCATCCTTTCATTCACTTACATCCTTCTCGCTCCAGAGGTTGGGAATGCAGAAGGACTCCAGGAGGTCACTGCCACACAGCAGCATGACTCTCATGTCTGCCCAAGACAACAGGAACCGGGTCACTCACTCACGCACAACAACAACCACCCTTCGCCACCAAGTTGGCGGTGACATCACCGCGGCGCTTGGTGCCAGGCTAGGTGCACTTCCGATGCAACGTGAAGGGTCGAAAGCTCGCCCGGCAGGAGGCCACGGTGACGCGGCCGGGCGGCAGCTTGTCCCGGAAGTTCACCGTCCAAACCCGGTGGCCGCCCCGGTCAACGCTAAAACGTGAGGACCGCGATGCGCCGCTTGCTTCGCTCGTGGTGGACGTCAAAGATCCCCCGTGACGTTATTCGACGCCATCGCCGTGGCCCAAAGGGCTGTTTGTTTGCTTTTTTTTCCGCCAATCATCCAGGCAATGCTTTGATCGAAACGTTACCGTCAAAGCTGAGAAAAAGTTAGAAAAAAAAACATGAGCCCACACTCACCGATCTCTTCGTAACGCAGCACATTCCCCATGTTGGCGTTCTCGTCTGAAACGAGAAGGAGCGTCGGTGGCATTCGTCCACATCGCAGCCCAACGACCCCGTTCGGGATATCCCCCCTCGTCGTTGGCCGTGGCTGGGGGTCACACTCGGGCCTCTGGGGTCGTCGGCAGCGCAGTGGGGCAACCGGTGACGTGACCTAGGCAGCGGTTCGCAGTTGCGACTCCGGCGGGCCGCACCCAGCTAACGCTGCCTTGCAGCGGACGTGAGAGAGTTTTCGCGTGAAGCGGGAGTGGGGCCGCTGCGAGTGCCATTGTCACGGCAACACCCTTCGTCAAATCTGAAAAGCCGCACCGCGAATCGCTCAAGTGGGATTTCGCGTGCGCGCACACACGCGCAAACATGCATGCACGCACACATGCACACAAAAGCACGCGCACACACACACACACACTCGCTCACGCGTGCACAAATGCGCACCCGCACACACACACACGTGCACACAAAAGCACGCACACACGCGCACATGCGCACACGGCGGCAGTCATAATCGCCCCCCCCCCCCACCCAACCACCCAACCGCGAAACTACCGCAGACCGAGTCTGTGAAACATGGCGGTGCCTTCCTTCGCAACGGCGACAAACGGACGACAGCCTCGCTCCAAATGAGCGATAGCGCCAATAGCAAATGTACTAAATTATCATCGTCGCTGAGGATTACCCTCCGTTTAACACGCAGGAGAAAGGCTTTCTTTGACCAATATCCATAAGAGAGGTTTTGTGAGTTAGATCATTAAATATAAACGTGCCGTTAAATCCGCCGCCAGCCGACAGCCAATTAGCAAGGGTTCTCACGTAAACAAAAAGTGCCAATTTATTACTAGCACAGCACGCTGGTGTGTTGGAGAGTAAACCCACTAAAACATTTACAAGGACCGTGACATTTTGCTGGTAACTACATACAGCATCATCATCAGGCGACAGCCAGAGTTGTGGAGAAATCCTCTTTTTTGGTCTTGAATGAGACTACCCAGCTTCTGCCGCAGCTTCACTGGAACGTGGAATTTCCACCACTGGCTTTCGGAGCCACTGATGGAGGCGATCGCCGTCCCCTCCACTCCGGCTGAGCCCCAGGTTGGGCCGCGAGCGATCGGTGTGACCGCGGTTGGCCCGTGGCACGAGACGTCTGCAATGGGACTCACCGATAAAGCTGAACGCGTCCGTGTCCGGGCGCGAGCAGCACATCACCGTGAGGTTTCCTCCCAGATTGTCGAGAATTTTCCCTGCGGAGGGGGCGGGAAGTGAGATTTAACGCCGCTTCGTTTCTTCACGTCGCGACCCTGCCTTCTGTTGCATTCTAATCCGCCACTGTCGTTGTCAGGCCGCTGTGAGAGGTCAATCTGGCCGTCGTGTTGAAGCCGCAACAACCCTTACCCCCTCTGACCCCAGCCTACCACTATCCCGAGCATACAACGACGTGATGGCCCTGATCGGCAAACACAGAGGAGACATCACGGCGATTAACTCCGCTACTCCAGATTGCGATTGTCTGGCTTTATCACCTGAATGTGAAATTCTAGTTACCGCTCTGTCATCTGCATCAGCAGTCGTACAAAAGAAGGAGAAAACTATCCCTACTGCCACGACCAACCCATACCCCCCCCGCCACCCCTGACCCAACCCACCCATACCACTGCGGTGCACACACCGCATTCGTCTGGCTAGGCTGTCTGGCTAGAGGGTCTGTCTTATGTCCCTGGATAGGGTGTCTGGATAGGGTGTCTGGCTAGAGGGTTTGTCTATATCTGTGTGCGGTGGAAGGGCCCCGGGGTTTAAACCCAGACACGTGGGGCCTAGAGAAAGGGCAGGGCCTAAAAAGGGAAGGTTCTGGAGCAGGAAGGGGTGGGGGGCCTAACCAGGAATGGGTGGGGCCTAATCATGAAGGGGTGGGGCCTAATCAGGAAGAAGTTGGGCCTAATAAGGAAGGAGTGGGGCCTAATCAGGAAGGGGTGGGGCCTAATCAGGAAGGGGTTGGGCCTAATAAGGAAGGAGTGGGGCCTAATCAGGAAGGGGTGGAGCCTCAGCAGAAAGGGGTGCAGCCTAATAAGCAAGGAGTGGAGCCTAATCGTGAATTTGTGGGGCCTAATCAGGAAGGGGTTGGGCCTAATAAGGAAGGAGTGGGGCCTGACCAGGAAGGGGTGGAGTCTAACCAGGAAGGGGTGCGGCCTGACGAGTAAGGGGGAAGGACGTAAAAAGAGGAAGGATGGCCGGAACAGGTCCAGCGATGGCCACGAGAGCGTTGAGAGTGTCTGGATCGGTGCATCCGTCTTGCGTTTCGCATGTTTTAACCCAGTGGCAGCCGTCTCAACCGATGAGCCTCCCGCCTTGTTTTTGGTTTTTAGCGCCCGAAACGTCAAGCGGGGCCGGCAACAAATGGCGCATCCGCGGCCACGTGGCGGTCGGTACCCGGGGTGGGTTTCCCGGCCGGCAGGCCGGGGCCGGAGGGCCCGCGCGGCGCCGGCTGGTGGCCCACGCTGCCCTGCGGCGGTGCCGCGTCTCCGCGCCCCCGGCGCGCGCTCGCCGCCGGCGCTGATGCCGCCGCCACGGGGGACGTCACGTCACAGAAGATGCAGCCGCTCATTTGCTGGTGGCGGTGGCGGGCGGTGCGGGTGTGTCAGAGTGGGGGGAAGGCACAGGGCGGAGGGCGGAACGGGGGGGGGTGGAACAGGGGGGCAGCGGGGTGCGGAACACAGGGGTCGACACAGAAGGGGTTAATACGGAGGTTCCCACTCATAATGTAAGATTCGGGCTAGGCCGCGGCATGGACACCGTGCAGGGAGAAGTTGTGAACGTGCGGCGCTTGGGGTGGGAGCGTCGTTGTCCCGTCGCGGCGACGAAGCGCACGAGCACACAACGCGGGAGAGGAACTCCCCTCCCCTCCCCCCCCCACACCCCTCCCCCCCCCCCCCAACCCGCACCTTCAGGAGGTTGCGGTGATGCTCGAGGACCGACCGTGCCGACTGCACGCTGTCCTGCAGGCAGGCCCAGGGGTCCACTCTGCGTCCACAGCGACGGCGACGCAAAGAGACAGAGACAAAGTCCGCCCCTCCTCCACCTACACCTGCACAGCCTCAGCAGACTGTCAGTGGGGCCAAGGGCTGCTAGCGTGCGCACGCACGTACGCACATCTCATCTCCATTAGCAGCCCTGAGACAATTCCACGTTCCCTATGGTAGAGGCCCGTGGCAATGAGGACAACCGCTGTTAATCCGGCCGGCTGGTTCGGCGACAGAGTGAGTTGTTCGCGAACAGAATGGTCGCAAGTTCACATCCAGGTTGTGGTGGTCGACTCATCCCATCATCTTTTTGGGGGCCGCTAAAATGGACAACCGCTGTTAATCCAGCCGGCTGGTTCGGCGACAGAGTGAGTTGTTCGCGAACAGAATGGTCGCAAGTTCACATCCAGGTTGTGGTGGTCGACTCATCCCATCATCTTTTTGGGGGCCGCTAAAATAGGCAAAATGTAGCGGTTGTCGCTGGAATTGACTGACCGCCGGGCCATAGGAATGTGCAGTTTTAAATCACTGGCTTAGGAAAAAGGGAGCAGCCATGCAACTGCTGGCTCAAACCTCTGCGTGGTGGAATGGCTTTCACAAGAGAGCTCTTCTCTAGAGGGTATTCGGCCTACTCTTCAACTCTGGCCGGGCATCTTACACTGCTAGGTCGACAGAGGAGGAGGAGGTGGTCGCAGGGAAGATTTAAGAATCTCCCCCCTCCCCCCACTACCCACACCCCTCCCCCCCCCGGTTGTTTGAACTGCCCCACTAGGAGATGGGAAATAACCCAGCAACCTACTCCTGATTGCGTGCTTGCAAACCCGTTACCACTGAGCCCGTCACCACCGAACCCGTTACACTGTGGTGGCAGCAGCAGCGGTAGCGGCGGTGGCCGCTGCCGTAACTCAGGAGGGGAGCCAATTCCCCGGTGCTGTCGGGCTCCGCGTCTGGGAGGTTATCGATCGGCTCGTAAAGCGGGCGGAATTCTGCACGGCAACAGAAGGCGCTGCCTAAAAGCCGCTCTCATCGCCGCCCTCATCCTCCCCCCCCCACCCCCACCTAGCCAGACGCTCTTGCCAGGGACACAGACAGACCCTCTAACCAGACAACCTAGCCAGATGTCCTATCCAGGCTTACAAACAGACCCTCTAGCCAGACAACCTAGCCAGATGCCCTATCCATGCATACAGACAGACCCTCTAGCCAGACGCTCTTGCCAGGGACACAGACAGACCCTCTAACCAGACAACCTAGCCAGATGTCCTATCCAGGCATACAGACATACCCTCTAGCCAGACAACCTAGCCAGATGCCCTATCCAGGCATACAGACAGACCCTCTAGCCAGACGCTCTTGCCAGGGACACAGACAGACCCTCTAACCAGACAACCTAGCCAGATGTCCTATCCAGGCATACAGACATACCCTCTAGCCAGACAACATAGCCAGATGCCCTATCCAGGCATACAGACAGACCCTCTAGCCAGACGCTCTTGCCAGGGACACAGACAGACCCTCTAACCAGACAACCTAGCCAGATGTCCTATCCAGGCATACAGACATACCCTCTAGCCAGACAACATAGCCAGATGCCCTATCCAGGCATACAGACAGACCCTCTAGCCAGACGCTCTTGCCAGGGACACAGACAGACCCTCTAACCAGACAACCTAGCCAGATGTCCTATCCAGGCATACAGACATACCCTCTAGCCAGACAACCTAGCCAGATGCCCTATCCAGGCATATAGACAGACCCCCTAGCCAGACTACATAGCCACACACCCTATCTAGACATCTTTGAGAGGGATATAAAAGACCGTCTAGCAAGACAACCTAGCCAGACGCCTTATCTAGACACCCTTGCCAGGAATATAGACGGACCCTCTAGCCAGACACCCTATCCAGACACCCTATCCAGGACATAGACAAACCCTCTATCCAGACACCCTATCCAGGATATAGAGAGACCCTCTATCCAGACACCCTACCCAGACACCCTATCCAGACACCCTATCCAAG